AGATACACATATAGATATAGAAGGGAGGACCACGATTTTATTGTTAGAGTGCGTGCAAGTCGCTAGACTCGATTACGATTAAGTAACAACAGGGAAGACAACACGCGGCTTGACAGTCGCTTCAGTAACGTTGAAACCACGAACAGCTCGCCGCTCTACCGTTTCGAATTTCCCGCCGTGCAGAGCGCCAATCGTCGAACACCGTGACCGTAACTGCATACCCGCCAATCGTTCGTGATGCTGCACACGAGGACCCTCGCCGTCGCTGCAGCATCGCCTCTCCTCGTTGAAAGTATCTTATCATCCTGGTTGCTTCGCGTGCCTGGCAGCCATGTTGCGCCCAAGCGTTCCATCGGCGATCGTGCCCTCAACCGTGGCGAGATATCGCGCGAGGACATGCTCGAGAGCTACCAGAAGATACGGCAGAAGTACAAGTGTAAGTAGAAACAGCAGCAGCAGCCATCTTATCTCGACGTCCTTCTCGGTTGCAAATGCTGCTCAACGTTCTGTCTCGGTCGTGCTTCTGCGCGCTCTGCCGCGTGGTCGCGAGTCCGCGCATGCGCACCCTCCGACACTTTGATATTTCGAATCGATGGAACTGGCGCGAGACCTTGATAGCCGTCTATCCATGCGGAAATCATAATTGATCTGTTAATGAATCTCCCTTCCCAGGAAGCATTCGATTTAGGCTAAAATTGTATGAAATACACAACGCTGCCGAATCTCTCGACAGATTTCGCATATTTGAACATACGTTGGATAAAACAACAACAACATGATTGTGTAACAATTGCTCCTGGCAAATTTCCAAGACTGGCAATATACATCGGATCTATTAACAGCCTTTGCTGTTATGAATAATTGTATGATTTGTAGATTTTTAACCAGATATCTATTATGAAGTGTTCGATACAATGCTGAATCAAATTGTGGAAACTATAAATTTCGATGTTTGGCCTAATTAATTCGAGGGGGAAAACTCTGTGTATCAGAATTTATGTCTTTGTGGAACTAATTAGTAAAAGAACACAGGAGAGACGGGACGAACGGTCGAGCAGAAAAATCTAGGACGGTGAAAAGCATCTTGCATCGGGCATCTGCGAAACAAAACGAGAGCGCCGAACTTATCGGAGAAATAATCCCGTGTGTTATCCTGCTTTTTAATTGAAAATCCTTGTACAAGGCCGCGTGTATAAAGGCGCATATGTGTATATATCATACCTGTAGATTCTGGTATATTTTCACATTCATCTTGACATGTCTACCTGAGATAGCTTGGAACATTAAACATTAAACAGAAGTAACGTCAGCCTATTTTTAGATTACACTGTGTTCAACGCAGAAAATGATAAAGGACACATTAAACCATGTGTTGATATACGGATCCTTGTACATTTAATTATCTTTTATGAACGTATTTACATTTGATTATTTTTGAAATAATTTCTTTGGATATTTATTATGTATTAACATTTTAAACAAGATTTGACGTTTTGATGAGATTTTTTTTTATTACTTTGTTTATAGGTATAATAAAATGAGCGGTTGGACCTGAACTATCTTTCAAATAAATAAAAAAATATCCAAAATTGGAAGAGAAAAACTTTTGTACGAAATGAAGATGCTGACGTTCATTTATCACGCACTATTATCAAAAGAAACAAGTTTGCGTAGATTACATTGACAGAGAATATTTATTTTATTTCGTGCATTTCTTGCAATGACTTTACACCACGCTTAAATACGCAGTTCTCTTCAAGATTAGCATTTCAATGAAAAAACACGTAATGAATAAATTACTTTAATCAAATTGAAGTTACAATTCGGTACTTTTATAAATACTATAAGTATCTGAAAATTTTTGAACGTTTCACTTCTTTTTAAAAATGATCCGAATTCAACTGTTTATTTTTTTAAATTTAGTTTTTGACGAAATCGTCATCTATGTCCATTTGTATTTTTATAATAAATTTTTACTATAAATTTTTGTACTGACGCAATTCAAATTTACGTGAAATTCTTTATCAATATTGTGGATCACGTTAGGAAGATAAAGTGCGTCATTTATGAAAATGCCATTGATCAAATTTCAATCTCTCACGCAACTAATGCATGTATTCAAGGAAAGATTGAAAAAAGTTGTATGAATATATATTTGTGAAGATGCTGATTAAAACAATTAAAATTTTAAATAAATTATATAAATTATGATAAAAATTCAGTACAAATTATCTTTAAAAGTAAAATTATCTCTAAATTTTCTTTGAAAGTGTTAATTACTATGATGAAGTAAATTAACATCAGTAAATTATTGATATTTAACAAAAACAATGTTACAGATTAAAATGGTATTTCAATCCTTTCTTCTATGGATTAAAGAGGCAGAGATTATTTATCTAAAAATATTTGCTAAATTGTTGAATAATTGATAATTTTTTACTTCAACTTGATCTAATTTTTTTAGTTGTAATGCTTTAACTGAATATAAACTATATACAGATACTTATACCTATCTATTGTACTCAATTTTGATAAATTGAATTTTCTTTTTAGCTAAGAAACTTCCTCAAGACGTGAATCCAAAAGGAGTATTCGCCTGCAATGAGCTCGACTTGAAAGAGGTCCAAGTTTATGGATTCGATTATGATTACACATTAGCTTGTTACAAACCATCCATGGATTACTTATTGTACAACCTTGGACGAGATATGCTGATTCAAAAGTACAAGGTATATGAAAATACACATTGCACATAACTATATATTTAATGAAGTATGTCTTATTAAGACAATTAGTTTTATGTCTTATGACGTATAAAACTATATATTTAATGAAGTATGTCTTATTAAGAACCGTCCCGTTCTCCCCCCCCCCCCAAAAAAAAAGAATAAATTACTATCTTTAACCAACACGAGAAAAATTGCTCGTGTATATACATGAGTCGGGAAACGGCGCTGGACAAACTTTCAAACTCGTCGAGACTAATTCGAATGAAACTTCCTAACTCATTTCTGCCGGGCGAGTTCGGTTCGTCAGCGGCGTTTTCTCGAAAATCAAGCGACAATTACCGCCGAATGAGAATTTCAATTGAAACTTAACGCAAACTCGTTTAATCGGCTGTACAGTACCCCGAGGGAATCGGCAACCTCGAGTACAAGAAGGATTTCGCTGTTCGTGGCCTCCATTACGACATCGAAAAGGGTCTGCTGCTGAAACTCGACAGCTTCTTGCAAATTCAATTTGGCACCGTTTACCGCGGTTTGCATCCAGTACCCGACGACGAGGTCCTCAGACTCTATAAAAACCGGATAATACCGATCGCTTATGTAGAAGCGCCTAATAAACATTCTCATGTAAGGATACCGGAATGAACGTGATAATTGATTATAATGGATCAGTGTTTCCAAAAAAGATCATTGTTTTCTTAAAAGTAATAAAATTGCTTGTCAAGTAGACTGCCAATTTCTATGCAAATTTTGAAATACAAAATAGAACGCTTCGGTAGACAAGACACTTTTGTCTTTTTAATTATATTTTCAAAAATATAAATATTTATACAAATTTGCCGTCTACTAATGAGCTATTATTGAATATACACTGCAATTCAAAAGTATCCGGACAATTGCTTATTTTAGACGAGATGTAGATATTTTAATTGTAGAATTACGGATAAATTGTAACAAAATATTGTAATGTTAGATTGTTTTTCAAAGGCTAACATAAAATTAGCGTCTGTAATTGTCAAATCTTCTCAATACTATTTTGTTATTTTGTTATTTAAAAAACTCTTTATCTTTAGATTATTTCATTCCTAAATTAATATTAAGAAAGGATCTTTTGCTATGAATGTTAATAGAGATAATATTTAAATAATAAATTTATTGTAAGTATTAAAATATATTGTTGCTGTCTTCAATAGGTATTTTTATAAGTATTTTAAATTATTTTATAAATTATTGAAAATAATGATTTCATAAGAAACTTAGTACTACGTGTAATTGTTAATTTACTATTAATTTGTACTAATATTAGTAAAATTCACAAACTGTTACTGCGAATTGACCAATCCGGATACTTATGAACCTGTAATGTAAATAGAATCTAAAAATGAAACATGGAAAAAAGTATGAATAAATAAATAATTCAGAAATCACACTTCATCCAGTATGTGCTATAAATATTTTTAAAAAATCAATTACGATTGATGCAAATATTATGCATATAGTGGCTCACGAAAGTATTAGAATGTTTATAAAATGTAACTGGCAATTATATTTAGTAAAGTTTGAACAAATTGTAAAATGTACATAAAAATTACAAAGTATTTAAACAATCAAATATTCATATTATATAAATAATATTTATTTTTTTTAACATTATTTATACGTTGGCGACTATTCATACTATATACTCTGCAGTAATTACATATGATATATGAATATTTTGCAATTTTCATATATATTTCCAGATTGGTTTTAAATTTTAATATTGTAGTCAAAATATAATATATTATATTCAATATAATATACTATAATCAAAATAGTTGCATCTCATTACAGTTAATAAAATTTCAAAATTATATATATAAAAATATACAACATATTCGTAAAAATCTTTTACATTAAGTGTTCAAATACTTTTATGAAACACTATGCATATATAACAAATAAAGTTGCTGTAAAGTATTTTATATTTGTTTTATGTATTGTAAAATTTATATAACTTTAATTGATTTCAAGACATTTCAAAATAATAACATTAAAAATTGAAGTTACCACAAACTAACAATATCATTTACCAACATAAAAATTCGCATAAATATACATGTTTTAACTTTTTCTTGTAATTGTTATTCATATGTATGTGCATACTTTAAATTGCAAATGTCTAAAAGAAAACTGAGAATGTAAAAACTTGTAATAATTTAAATGTCCTTTATTTATTTGCACGCAACAACTTTTGTGATTTTCGTGATGGGTTTTTCCAACGTGAAACATAGAAAGTGAGTATTCGCAGTTCTTTGTAGAATATGCAGATTTGTTGTGTATAAATGAAATAAATTTTTCTTAGGACGGACCACACCGAACGAAAATGGTTCAATTGGCTGATTTATTTTCCGTGCCGGAAATGGGTCTTCTGTGCAATGTCACGGAATACTTCCTTCGAAATCATATCGACTATCATCCCGAAATACTTTTCAGAGATGTGAAGGTAAACCAAATATATAATATGCGATATATTATAATAATATGTCATAATATGTTATTTTTACAAAAATATAAATTTATATAAATATGTTATTTTTACAAAAATATAAATTTATATAAATATTTTGTTTCAGAATTCTGTACAAAGTTGTCATCCTATAATGCATGGTATGGTAGTACAGAATGTCTCTGAATATTTGGAGCAAAACAAGGATTTAAAAAGATTTTTTGATCGACTTAAGAAAGCTAATAAAAACATGTTTTTAGTAACAAATAGCCCCTTCCATTTCGTGTAAGTATTATACTGAATGAGATTAATAATATAATATATAAGATATATGTTTAATACAATATTAAGTATCTAATGCAATTAAGAAATAATCATAAAAATAAAACATGTATTTGTTATAGCGATACTGGAATGAAATTTTTAGTTGGTGACGATTGGAAAGATTATTTCGATGTAGTAATAGTGCAAGCAAGAAAACCAAAGTTTTTTACCGAAGAATCTCGACCTCTTAGAATATACGATGAAATTAACAAAACACAGTTATGGGATCGAGTCACCAAACTTGAGAAGGGAATTATATATCTTGAGGTACATTTATTTTAAAATTATTTCTTAAATATTTCTTAAAGATCTCTTTATAAATACAACGATAATATTACTGCGTAATAAAAATTTCATAAACATTTAATTTTCGAATTAGGGTACGGTTAAACAATTACAAGATATGACCGGGTGGCGGGGACAGCAAGTATTATATTTTGGTGATCATCCTTACAGCGATTTAGCGGACGTAACATTGGAACACGGTTGGCGAACTGGAGCTATAATTAAAGAATTGACGGTAAATTTGCAATTTTTTTCATCTTTATAGAGAATTGAAAGCCAATTATAATATTAAATAATATTATCTTAAAGAAAAATCAAATTTATAATTAAATTAATTAAAAGTAAATTGTTAACAAAGAAATAAATTTTACATTAATATTATTACAAATGAATATTATTGGAATTCTTAATGATCAGACTAATTGTTTTTAAAAAAATTTGCAGTATAATTTAGAATTTATTATTTTAGAAGATAAATTAACAGAATATCTTTACATGTTACAGCATGAGATTTCAACGTTAAATAATCCAAAATTTAAAGAAAATGCAAACTGGTTGCAAATGCTGACAGGGTTGATTGAAGAACATCAAGATTATGAAGGACCAGATGTGCAAACTGTACTTGACGAATGGATCAAGGAAAGAGATAAATTAAGAAACGAGATAAAACGAGTATTTAATGAGCAATTTGGTTCTGTATTCAGAACATATCATAATCCAACATACTTTTCGAGAAGACTTTTCAGATTTGCTGATATTTATATGAGTTCAATTACAAATTTAGTAGAATATTCAACACATCATACCTTTTACCCCAGAAGAGGTGTAATGCCACATGAATATACAAGTTATTTTGTATAATACATAAAATATTTAGATTTACAATTGAAGATATCTAATGCTTTGGAGCGTGGTAGGAGTTTATACATCAAAAATTAAAAATAAATCAAATCAAAATTTCTAAATGGAATAACAATGTTGAAAATTAGATATTTAAAACGCATTTGCGTTTTATGTATATAATAAGAGAATGTTAGACTGCTTAATGCGTTATGCAAGGATATCCATACATTTATATATGCATCATTTTTTTTCTAGAGAAAATAATTTACAAAAGTTCCATTATAGGATTCGTTAAAATGAATTAATATATAGTATATATGTTATTATTTAGAATATCCAAAGATTGTTAAAAATAAATACAAAAAACTACATAAAATATTAAAAAAAAAAGTAGAATAGTATTCTAGGAAAAAATGAAGTGACCTACACAGAACAATAAAAAAAAAAAATGTACTGCTTAGTCAGCATTAAAAACTGTTCTATTTGAAATATTTCTTTCTTTTTATGGCAAGCAAATACAAGTGTACGTAATTTATTCAGGTACAAAATTTGTTATTCTAAATGTTAAATATGATGTTCATTATCAAAGAACATATACCATATACCAGATATTGTAAAGGAGAAATATAAAAATTGATATCGATACTCTATGATATTGTTATAAATAACAAAGTACAATTTATAGGGTTCCTAATAACTGTGATTCTAGTTTTGAAGTTAACAGCAAATATAAGGTGTTTTTTTCATTTTTACTACCTGAAATATTTGCGCTGCATTAAAGGTTGAATAAAAATACTTATTTGTTTCAGTTCTGATCTTTTCCTCAATGCAAGAAATATTTCATTTTAATAGTGCAACATTTACTAAAGAAATAAAATACATAATTTAAAGAATATATTTTCAAAGAAAATAATAATGTCACATATCAAACTTGTAAAAGTGAACAATCTCGTTTATGTAACATATTTTAAACACTGCAAATATTTTAGAGAATAAAAACAAAGAAATCACCCTCTATGCATAGTTTCATCTAGATTCTAGGTTAATATTAGAATTTTACGTTATACAAAGAAAATGTAATACATCGAATTAGATTATATTGAAATTACTAATATACAAACGAGAAAGGATTCCATTAAATATTTTGCTTAGTGAAGTAGTATGGTAATTTAGCCAAACTTATTTCCATTAAATGCAGATGTGTTCAAATGTACGTAATAGTCAATAAAATTAAATTTAGACAAAATTATTATAACTTATTTAATATTTTTATTTATTGCCGTCATCAATTTAGATTTACTTCAATTTCCAATATTTGTTTCACTCTAAAATATTTTCATCATTTTTTCATAAATTAATGATAATAATTTTCATAATTTAATCATTATATAATAAACTGCAGCATTATTTTAGCAAATATTATATGAAATAAATAACAAAAAAAAAATCAACGAGAAATATAAAATGATGCAGTTATACGAGTATTATGATATAAATGATAGTCTTAAAAAAAAAATTTTTAAATTAATTTCCCTTTATAATGTTATTGTTCTTATTAAATTAGAAATAAATTTTGATATAATATAAAATATAAATTATAAACAATATTAATATTTTAAAAAAGTACAGAATTTCTGTAAATTCTGAACTGTTGAATCTTTTCAACAGTTTCTTTTGTTTAAATCTTGGAATTGTAAATAAAACAATAATTACGAAATTAATTTTGTAAACGTGAAAAAATTCTTTTAAATTCAGTACTTTTTTATATAGATAAACTAATTATATAGATAAACAATTTTATAACATAAATTAATTGTAATTGTACAGAATAATATCCATAACTGATAAAGTTTGATAACAAACTCAATTGCTATGTAATAAAATTAAATAATTTTTGAAAATCTATTTAAAAAGAAATTTAAATATAAATATCTCGGTATATATTAATTAAAAATATATATTAAAAATTTCCTATAATGCGATAGGTATTTAAGAGCATTATATACGACATATGTCGTATATTTTATAAAGTATAATATATATAAATTATTCAAATATATTTAAACAAATATCAGAGATACAGTATTTACATAAAGTTCTCTCACACTCATGCGAATACAACACGCACACAGCACTGTTCTACAAATGTTTATCAGCATCGAATACAATCACTCCCATAATATAATTCCGCTATTCGTATCTGAAGTGCATCTTTACTCGATGACTATGTTACCGAAAATGGCTTTAATAATATTTACTCCATCTAATCATCGCACGATTTCAAGCTAAACTCAATAATCCACAGCTTGCCGCTATAACGTTTAGATAGCAACGTTTCGCCACTATATACCCTATAGTTTTATTAAAATGCGAATTCAATCATGACTTTCGTTTCATATGTCGATAGTACGAAATCTATATCTATATATAATATTGATGGTACCAAATATTCACATCGCTGACAACTAATTATACGTTCAGTCTGCATCAAGTATATCGTTTATTAGTTATTCAGTAAGTCAATTACTCAGAATCATTACAATCGATATATTATAAATTATTATAACTAACATATTAAATAACATGCATACATTATTTACATTATGTATATCTTAAATTTCAATAACAAGTTACTGACACTGAGAACTGATAATAAAAACATTATAGTTTGTATGTGATTCAAATAACAATTTAATATTTAACCATGTGTCTTATGATTCACTTTAATTAATTATTGGTCACCTTTTTTTGACTTACTGATTGATTAATAATTTTTCCGAATCAGTCTTCTGATTCAATGCAGATACAAAACATATGACTACCGACGAGGTAGATTAGCGAAATCAAATTTCAGCTAAAATAGCAAAACTCATGTCACGCCGCATATACAGCGATACTATTAAAAATTAGGAATTTTATTTGAACTAGTACCATGAGAATGAAAGGAAAAACATTTAATTAAAATGGAACTTAAATTGGAAGGGAGAGCCATGGAAGTGATGGAATTCTTGGAAGGGATTGAAACCTTGTTGATGTTTCCCTGATTCAGGATCTAATGGATCTTCTCCTTGATCGAACTTCGCTCTTTTCTCATCATCAGTCAATACTTCTTTGGCAGCTGCAATGTCAATAAATCTCTTTTCTGCTCGTTTCTTTTCTTCTCCTTCTTGAAAATTATCAGGATGCCATTTTTGTGCAGCTTTTCTATATGCTTTAATGATGTCACGTTTAGATGCTGTTCTTGGCACACCCAAAATTTTGTAATAATCTCGTGATTCAGAAAGCTTTTGCCGTTGTTGCGCTTTATGTAGACCTTGCTTCGCTCTTTGTAAGCTCATGTCAATTTCTAAAGCTTCTTTAAAATCTCTAATAGCTTTTTAAAAAATAACATTTTTATTATTAAATTGTATTAACAACATAAGAAATTTACTGCACAATGTGCATGCACAATCTTTAAATGCGATTATCTCCTGGACAATTTATCATACAAATATTCGGGTGAATTAACAAATCTTAAATAGAACTAAATGAAAAATATCTATATGAAAAAATTAAAGTCATTTTAAAATTTCTATGACATTTATGAATAGATAAGATTCATATCTAGATAAGATTCAAATAAAATAAGTCTACAAAATACTTTTCTAAATAATGAATAGTTTGCAAAATAATCGCGTATGAAGATTGATATGGAACATCTTGTATAAATAAGACTTACCATCCTCAAACATTTCAGCAGCAAGATACGCTTCTGCTCTGTCACAGTATACTGATGCTTCTTTTCTTATATTTAATGCTTCGTGGCAATTTTTGATTGCTTGACTTGGTTCTGAATTACCAGTATAACATTTACAAAGATGCTGATGAGCAATGAAACGTACTTTAGCTACTTGTGATTCAAGTTTCAATACAGGCAGAGCAGAATCTATGCAATTAGTGTAATCTCTTTCATTCTCATACTCATTCGCATCTGTCAGTAGTTTTGCTACTTTCTTGACTTTCTTATAAAATGCAAAACACTTTGAATGATCTGGATCAAGTTTCAAACATTCTCGAATTTCCCTATAAGTACATAATTTTAATTACGTAAATTTAAGTATGAGACATACAATTTTACATTGTTTTACTTACTTTAGAGATTCCTCCACTTGTCCTAAACGGTAGTGCAAGGTGGCTAATTTTAAAAATCCTTGCGTATTGTCAGATTGTAACTTGGTTGTAGAACGTACATCGGAAATAGCACTAATATAATCTTCGAGCGCCTCATAACATTCAGCTCTAAGTTCTCTAAGTTCAGCTGACCATGGACATACTTCGATAACTCTGGTAAATTGTTGTGCAGCTGTTGCATAGTCACCATTTCTTATTAATCTGTCTGCAACTAATAAATCATCCTGAGCAGGCGATATTTTATATAAGGCGTTGTAGGCATCTGAATTCTGTGGCTCGACTGCTAACTGCAACAAATGAAAAACAAAAATTGCAGCAAACTTAAAGGACATGTATAAAACACATTATTATTTCGAAATAAAAATATACTTACAACATTTCGAAAATCAGCTTCTGCTTTTTCAAACTGAGCTTGTTTAAGCAATACATTACCACGCTGTAATCTCGCAGAAGTAAAATCTGGCTTCAATTCCAAAACTCTGTCTAGATCAAGGAGTGCAAATTTGGCTTTACCCAGTGCTAGATATACTGTGCCCCTTTTGTAGTATGTCAAATAGTTATTTGGATCTCCCTCTATAAGAACGATCAAACGCGTCAAAATTCTAATGTCGATTACAGCTTCTATGTTTCTTTGTGCATTTAATACAAAAATTGGCTGCAACAAAATATATTGAAACAAACTGACTGTGACTCTTAAAACTTACCAACAGCTGCATGATAATGTGACAGTGCATCCTGTAATTGGCCTTTCGCTAAAAATTCTCTACCTAATTCCAAATGCCTGTCAATTTCTAACTGGGAAACGCTCCCAACCACTGGAATAGCAAACTCATTAAATATTACACTGTAAAATAGTTATGTTAGAAGTAACGTAGGTTAGGATTATTTACCATCTAAAAACAGATCCAATAAGACCAGTAATAAACCACAATGGTACATGACTGAATAAAAAATTGGGCCACGACAATATGAATATTTCAATACATAAAACAAACCTGCTGGCTTTAGAAGCCTCTACCTAACCACCCAATAACATAAAACTGTTCAGCCACGCCGCCATTGCGATCGTGGTCTTACACGATTGGTCCAAGTTATTTCAACAGAATTGACCTCTCGTCGGTTCTTATTTTCCGTTGTGTTTCAGGATACATTAAAATCAGGATTATCCGCTTAATAAACTACAAGTCTATCGCTGATAAAGGATAATCGTCGAAAAATTAGTATTCTCTGCCAGAGCTTATACATATAATTCAACGCTCTTGTTTGATCGCTCTTAGATAAAAATTTTATTTATAAAAATATCCAACGAATAGAAAATCATTAAAATTCAAAAGATTCGCGTGTAAGAATTTATTGAAAATTTATTTTCATTTCTCTAAAACACATTTCTGCCTTCTGATCCTCTGAAATGTATGAAATAATAAAACATACATATTCTGTAAGATTTAAAATTATTGACACGCTTCGGCTGATAAACTTTGGAGAATAAATCCGGGATTATGTGCGGTCGATATGTACGTTTTTTAATACTTTGTACAAATTAACATTTCTCTATATTACCTATCAGAGATAAATGTTTAAATTGTTTTAAACCGGTACGAAAATAAAAACACACAGGTAATTATTCTACTGAAGCTGTACGAATTTGTTCAAATTGTTCGATGTAAAAGATTATGCAATTTCTTTATTTTCTTTTTTTCTTTTCCCAATGCTAAAATGCAAAAAAGAATTAGAAACGTTTGCGAAAAAAAAAAACAGAAGCAAAACCGTAATGTAATTAAGGCTTGTTCGAAGAACATTGAAACGTTTCGAACTTTCGAGTAAACTGCAGGGTAGAAGGCATAAAACGTATACGAAGAGAGACTCTACACTGCATAATCTTTTCTTTCTTTATTATACGATTCATTTTATAGAATTCTCCTGTCACTGCATAATACTATAAATAAACGAATGAATCACTAAATGAACGACATTTAAATAATATATGTGATCCATCGTCTTTTTTTATGAGGTATTTGTAACAATATTGACACTCTACATCATTCTTCACGGAACACACATGTTGCTTTACCTAAGCGCAAGAATGCACATGCTATCCACAATGCGACCGTAACTTATTGCTAATGAACGTCAAGTGTATATATATATATATATATTACTTATATGCGTATATATATCATACACTTTAATAAGGTTAAGTTGACATCCCTTATTGAATTTCAGACACTTTATTTTTTATTATTTCATTCAATAGCCGTACGACGTACAGTTGTTTGCAGAATTTTTTTTTCCCCCTACTTCTCGTATTTTCCTTTTTTTTCTTTTTTTTTATTCTCGGTTCACCTAATGTAGCGTGTAAATGTGCAATTATTTAATTAAGAGACCCGACAGAATGGTACATTCACCGTTCCGTTTCTAAACTCTTTCACACTTTTGCCATTTGCTCGCCATCTCAGTGAAGTAAGATATATAGCAGTATCATTAGAGTTACAATTGAATGATACAACGAGCGTCATTCGCCGTAGAAAAATGAAACACAGCCACTGAGACTCGTATCGAAAGCGCAAAACAATTGTCGCGCTTTCTTTAAAAGTTTGTTCTTTTTCTTTGTTTTTTTTTTCTTTTTTTTTCCCTTTTTTTTACTTTTTTTTTTTCCTCTATCGTTTCTCTATACACCGTCTTGTCTGCGTTCTCGATTCAACGACAAGCGACGCTTCTCGATTAAATAACGTTCGTAAAAGTTAGAAGACATTTTTTTTTTTGCCATCCCACCCAGTTTTGCCCACGAATATTCTTCACCTACGCGTGTGCTCTTTTCGTTTCATCTTTCTCTTTTTCTCCCGTTTACGTATTCTCTCTTTCTCTCTCGCATTCATAACATATCACGCGCATACGACAACTCAATGTTTTTTTTTTTTCTTTCTCCTTGTTTATCCTTTGAGTATTAGCGTTTTATCGTTTTATTCCTTTTTTTTTTTTATATATGTATTAAACAAAAAATTGCTCGAGATAACGACGCACAATAAAGTCGCATACGAATTTCTCTGTCACTTACCAAGAACAAGATTAAGCAAGATTCGAATTTTCGAATACGCGCAACGTAATAAAATAAGAAAGAAAGAAAACTGTAATCGCTAAACTATATGAAACTATCGATCGATTTTACTCGGTAGCAGCGTACGTGCTTTTTTTTTTCTTGACATTGCGAATTGTAACACGTGGT